TTTTTTTTAATATATTTGTGGGAGTCCGAAAAAGTTGAAAAAAGCGTAAAAAAAACATTTTTCATCTGCACATTTCTAGCTATAGCAGCTAAACTAAGTAAGTTACATTAACGTTATGTAACTCAAAATATTGGTATAAGTTTCACCTTTAATTTGATATATAATATACTACCGAGATAACTTCAGAAAAAAAGCTATGGGGGAATATGCAGGGTGATGTTTTGAGAAAAGTCAAAATAACGAAAACGGTACATAGGAAAAAAAAATCGTTATGATTTTCGAGTTCTACGGAAAATTTCCCTATAGAAAATATGAGTCTCGTCTTTGGAAATTTTTGGCTGTAAACTAGTGTAATTAACAGCACAAAGAAGAAAACTGGAAAAACGTTAAATTTGCCTACCTTAATGTTAAACAATAAACTAAGGTTTTTTTTGGAATTGTAAAAGCCACTGATTAATTGAGCAATATAATTTACTTGCTGAAATATAACAGCGTTCATCAACTTATATCTGAACACACCCCCTAATAAACTGATTGGACAATTTGAGTGCAAATAATTCACACAAGTACAAAGTAATCAATGAGTAACTATCGCCATCACAGCGGGTATTGTGGTATAGAAGTAAGAGATATGCATCCAAGAATTCATAATTTTACGTACGTTAGCTCTTGCGTAAAGTATATGATATTTATGTTAAACTTCATATTCTGGCTTTTTGGTGGACTCCTGCTTGGCATTGGTATGTACGCATTCATGGACAAATGGCATTCAACAGGCTGGGTACGTTTAGAAACTTTCTATGATGTTATATTAAATATATCGCTTGTAATGGTTATTGCTGGAGTAGTTGTTTTTGTTGTGAGCTTCGCTGGCTGTTTGGGTGCTCTACGTGAAAATACTTGTCTACTGAAATTTTATTCTATGTGTCTTTTATTGTTTTTCCTACTTGAAATGGCAATTGCAATTATGGGTTTTGTATTTCCTCAAAATATGAATTCATTCTTGGAAGACAAATTTACTGATAAAATAATACATTCTTACCGTGATGATTCAGATTTACAAAATCTAATCGATTTTGCACAGCAAGAGTTTAAATGTTGTGGTTCCGAGTAGAAGTTGTTGCTTCCTCTTTAACCAAATAATATAGACCTAGTTGAGGATGTTGAGGTGATGGTGATGATGATATAGTCCTCCCAGAAAACCCGTAAAAATAATACACTTTTCTTTAGTTATACAATGACGCAATTACTTTATTTATTTCCAATATATATCAGCGCTACTACGCTTCACTTTTCACTTTTTTACACTCTTTAATACTTGGTCAAGCGCTACTGCGCTTAACCTCTTCACAATTCCAAGACGTCAGTTCCAATTTTGAACTCGTCTTATATACCTAAACTTGATGCAAAAATCCAATATATGACCTAGTTACGTTATTGGGTTTTTCCCATAGTTGTATAATTTATATTGCTAAATTCGCAAAGTTTTATTATTACAAGAATGCTCCACATATTTTTGCAATTCTTCCGTATTCAATATTTTCAAAGTCACTTACATCATGACACCAATTACTAACCAATTACCAAAAATCAGCATTTCTTATCGTCGAACTGACGGTCTGATGCTTTGGTTCTAGTCAATAACTGCCCAGATGCAAACAACCTTGCCTATTTTTAGAAAAATATACGATCAACTAAAATTGCAAAACGTAAAGTTAAATGGACTAATTATTTAACTCATAACACACTGCACGAGGAGGAAGTGCTATTATAATAAAGGAAACCATCAGTCACTATGAAGAGGAAAATATCAGCTGTAGCGAGTTTCAAGCCACAACTGTTACAATAAAAGTACAAAATCAATTATTTCGGTCTACAGTCCTCCAAGACATTCTATTAGTACAGATCAATATATAAACTTTCTTTCTAAATTTAAAAATAAATTCATTATTGGCGGCGACTTCAATGCTAAACATGTCCATTGGGGTTCGCGATTAACTACAACTAAGAACCGAGAACTATTAAAAGCCATACAAGCTACAAGATGTGATGTCTTATCAACTGGAAGCCCAACATATTGTCCAACTGACCCAGCGAAAATACCGGATATGATTGACTTTTTTATAACTAAAAAAATACCGAAAGAACTCTTACAAATAGAAAATGGATACGATCTCTCTTCTGATCATTCACCTGTGCACCTCTCTATTAATAAAAGTGTAGTCATAAATAATAAATAGATCTACTGACTGGGATTACTTTAGGCTGCAACTTGAAAACACTCTTAATCTTAACTCTGATCTAAACTCAGCAACTGAAGTGGATAACGAAGTTCTTCTATTTACACAGCAGATTCAAAAATCAGCATGGATGAGTACTTCTCAGTTCTCTAAACACCAGATTAGACCAACTCTTCCAAAAGAAATAAATAAACTAATATGAGAAAAAAGGAAATCGCGTAAAAAATGGCAACAAACACGATCACCAACTGATAAAACGGAATTAAATAGGAAAACTGCACAACTACGAAAACTTATCAATAATGTTAAAAACTATAAGATACAACAGAATCTTAGAAGCCTTTCCTATGAGAAACGCACAGATTACTCGCTGTTGAAAGCCGTGAAACCAGTAAAACAGCCTATAAAACATAATCCTCCTATAAAAAGCAGACATATGAATTTAACATGCCTACCAAACAACAATCAACCGAATGGTGCTTCGAACATTATGCTGACTGTTTTCTTCGATATTCGTGGTGTGGTGCACTATGAATTCCTTCCGGACAGTCAAACGGTCAATAAGGAGTATTATTTGGCCGTTATGCGTCGTTTGCGTGAGGCCATTCGCAAAAAGAGGCTAGATTTATGGAAGAAAACTTATGGATTTTACACCACGATAACGTACCGGCTCATACAGCGTTGGTTGTGTCGCAGTTTTTGGTCAAAAACTCCACCAATATCATCAACCAAGCACCGGATTCTCCAGATATGGCTACTAGTGACTTTTTCCTTTTCCTTTGACTCAAATTGCCATTGCGAGAACCATAGACGCATTTTGAGACCATAGAGGTCAAAAAAGAGAATTCGCTGCGTGAACTAAAGGCCATACCTTCGGCGGCCTATAAAACTTATATGGAAAATTGGATAAAGCATTGGCATGCATGTATTGCCGCAGGAGGAGAGTACTTTGAAGGAGACTCCCTAACAAAGAAGGGTACATGTACTCCTTTCATTGGTCCAGCGCCCTTCTACGGGATAACAAATAGCTTCGTAAATAGCTTATTATGTGAACGGGAGAAACAACATCTACTTGAACACTGGAAAGCCCAAACCGGCATGCGACAGTCAAAAAGATACATTGATACTGATCACATCCAAATTTATGCTATTCTTGGTCTTAGCAGAAACGATATTAAAATCCACGCTGAACTTCTTACAGGATACTGTAGACTTAATTATCACTTGAAGATTATAGGTGTGGTAGAAAGTTACTCCTGTCGACTCTGTCATGAGGAGAAGGAAACATCAGAACATGTTCTATGCAATTGCCCAGCAGTGGCAAGACATAGACGCGATTACCTTGAAAGCGGGATCTTAGTTCCAAATCAAATAGGTTAAATTAAGCCCACAGTTATTACAAGATTTATAAATAGTCTAAAATTGTCCTAGTTGGGACTTTAGGTGCACAATAGATCTTTTAGGTCGGGGTATATTAATAGCCTATAACTAAATAATAATAATAAAAAACTACTATTATAAATGTATCTAAATGAATATTTGAACTTAATGCACAGATAGATAAACATTTAATACATTCGTTTTTATGCATGTAAATTAAATTTATTCGTCACGAGTTTTAATTTTTAAAAAAAATATTTTTATTTATTATATTAAAGATATATATATATATTACAAGTTATATTTTTCCGAATAGGTAAGGTTTAAATGGTGAATTCTCGAATGCTTGAACTAGACTTTAGGCTAGCTCACTCTAGACTGACTCTTGAGGTTTTATTCTTCAATAACTGAAGTTATTGTTTTGATTACGAAATTGGGTTTTATCCAATTAGAACACAGCTTCTAAAATTCCTGAGAATTTTCTAGAAGCGTCTTTTCCTCCAACCAATAGAATTGGAGCTTCTATTTGCTAAAGCACCTCGTCAGCGTCTTTAGCTTCGGCGTCAGTAGCCGGAAGATGATGTTTATATTCATCAATCAAATATCTAAAATGTGTTACAGTTTTAAAGAAAACAATTTTGTTTTCCTTTGCAGCATTGGTGTCAAATGAAATGTGGGCATTGACCCAGATTCAGATTGTTTATGTAAACATATTTTAATGCGTAATATTTAAGTACGCATTCTGAAGATACAAAAGTATCAAACAGTGGCTCAGTGCCGTTATATTAATTTAGGGTTTTAACTCCCCTCTTTCTTGATTGAAGCGTCCCGCTTCAGTCAATGTCTGTATTCTAGAGTTCAGTTCTATGAATAGTTCTTCATTCTTATTATTATTAATTTTTCTTTTACACTTTTTAATTTTCGTAATAATTTTGAATAATATGAATATAATTAATGTGCTTATGACTAATCCAATAATAATTGACATTGTTGGATGTCTTTCTATTTTATTTTTATACAAATCTAGCAATTTAATATTTTCAAATTTCAAATCTTTATTTTCGGATTCTATATATTCCGATATTTCATAATTTGCTGGTTTAATATTTTTTACATAAT